AATGCTGCCCATCCCACCACTGGGCCTCAGGTTTTCCATCTGGAAATAGGAGGTGGGGATTGGAATAAACTGTCTCCAGGGGCCCTTCCAATCCTGCCTTCTCGGTTCCAGGAAGCGTTCCTCGGCCAGAATAGGTGTGATAGAACTATGTGGCCAAGGCAAGTTAGGGGACAGGAAAGGAACAGGTAACTAAAGGGTCCTTTGATTACTGAACTCTCTAAGCTAAGCAGGAATAACAAGGGCATATGTCATACCACTCCATCAGAAATACACAAAGCCCGAAGGCCCACGGAAAGCATGGAGTGATGGTCCCCACAGCGAGGTTAGTGATGGTCCTAAAGTGTCTTCAGGAGGCTGAGCTATCCTCAGGGCTGCCCTTGGCTTCCACCGTAGCAGGAGTCCCAAGGTGAGGAAGAGGTGGGCGGCTCCATCCAAGCTCCTTCTGCCTTACTCACTCTTGCCTGGTGCGGCTCACAATTTGAGGGAAGTAGACTATGGAAATTCACCTGTACTACAAAGTACTACAACCCGGGTAATACTCAACAGAGCCCTCTGATACAATGTTAATGCTGGTGGGTTTCACATCCCATCTGCAGTTTATGCTTAGCGGAGGTCTTTCCTTGCTGAACATCAAGGATACTTCACAGAATTTCAGACTGTTGGAGTGGAAGGTCCGCTGTGATCTCTCAGTCCAACCTGTGAAATGAAGGTTGCCTCTTCTTGCATGCTACCAGTGACGGAGAACTCACTACCACCGCCAAACCCCAACCTCTAGTAAGGCAGCTTATCTCTGTTCCGGGGACAGTTCTGAAATTCTTCTTCATGCTGAACTGAAACTTCTCGAACCTTCTAGTCCTCAGCCACAGTCCTGCCCTCCAAGGCTGTGGGCCACACACTAGAGCTTCCACCTTAGGATAGTCCTGTGAGATTTGAAGGCAGTGACCAGGTTTTCTTGTCTGTTCTTGAGGCGGACCAACTTGTTCTGTTCACAGCACCTCCCATACTTTGGTTTCGTGCCTCCTGCCACGTCTTGTCACCTCCTTCTGGATGCATTCAGTTTGTCAGTTTACCCTTCAAAATGCAAGCATATTCTAGGGGTCTCACTAGACCCGATGTGAGCTCATCTGGCACCGCCCTCCCTCTCTGCCCTGACTGTGCCACATCCCGTTACAGACCAGGTTTGCTTCAGGTTGAACCCAAGGCAGGGGTCTGGTCTGCTTGAACAAGAAGATGGGCCCCACAACCATGGTTGCTGCCAAGATATAAAGGCCCTGATTCCAGCCTTATTAGTTGAAGGGCTGCCCTTGAGTTCAAAGGAACTGAAGAGAACACCTGTTCCAACCCTGGTGCATGACAGATAGAGAAACTGAGGACCAGAGTGGGGGACTTGCCTAACGTCTCATAGTAAAGCTGGAACCCGGGTCTCCAGGTGTCTCCCCCAGTCCTGTGTTCTCCCTAGGTCCTGTGCTGCCAGCTGCCCCTCGAGCTCACTTCTCCCAAATTTCTCTTAACTCAGGAAACCCCACTGACCTTGCTAGCCCTCCTGCAGAGCTCAATCCGAATGCCCCACCCCCAGCCCTGGGCCTCCCCGCTCTGCTTTTGGAAGGGGAAATTCTTGTGTTCCCCTCCCAGCTCCTGTCCTCTCCCACTGCAGGGTGAACTCTGCTCCGTGGCCTCTGAGGAGGAAGCTGCCAGAGTCCCAACCTGGGGATTTTCCATGCAGTAGTTGCTTATCAATTCCTACTCGGCCCTGGGCTCTGTGTCCCCAGGCTTTCGTGATATCGGAACCACCTGCATAGATGGGCAGATGGGAGCTTCCTGGCACGTGTACCACCCTTGGATTCTGTGGGTCTAGAACTGGGCCTGCGGGCTGTGTTAAACAAGCACTCCAGGTGGTTCTAATACGGGAGGCCCATAGGCCACATTCCTAGAAATACTGTTCTGGGCATCCTAACACACATGCTGGGACAAATCCCAAGTGGATTTCAAAAATGGTCCTGGTCCTCAAGGAGCCCCTTGGCCTAGCTGGAGAAACCTGGGTAGCCAGGTAGGTACTCACATGGGTGTCTGAACAGGCACTGGAGCATAGAGCTGATAGGAACTAACTCAGCCCTGGGGAGAGACCGAGGAGAAATGTTACATGAACTCAGCCCGGAAGCCTGAGAGTGTACGTCATGCTGGGATGGTCTTGAGCAGCTTGGGATGCTCTTGGACACATGGATGTGCACATTGGGACCAGAAGTATAATAGGCCTATTTAGCTGGGCCCAGCAAATTTGCCGATTATTTTGTAAAAATGACACTGTTCCATGTTGGCAAGGTTGCAGTGACACTGGCCTTCTTGTGTGCTATTAGTGGGTGAGTTCTTTTAACCTTTCTGGAGGGTAGAACCCATAGCTTTGGCTATGTAAAAAAGTCAGTATGTTCACTAAAGCATAATTCGGAAATTAAAAAATGGAAATAATTCAAATACTCATGCAGATTATGAATTAAATGATTGAATTCATCCTTGAATTCAATGTTTGAGTCGTGAAAATTAATATGTGTACAGAATATTTAATGCCATGTAGTAAATGCTCATAATATATTTGAAAAATTAAAATATCAGGAAGCATAGGTAACATTCCTTTAATGAATAAATTATTACTACTACTATAATCGGAAGAAGATGTTTACAAATATTTACTAAGGAAGGAAGGAGGCTGAGGAGGACGGTAGCCTGAGGACGGATGGTGATGAGTCTTGGATGTTATTTGACGGAGTAATCCTGAGAGTGGTTTCGTTAGGATCTGGGGACTCAAGCGCACAGTCACATCCTGCCTGTGGTCTGGAGGCTGTTCATGGAGAAGAGTTTTTCACTTCTCTGTGGCTGTTGTTTGGGAGAAGACAGTTTCTCATGAGCTTTATGATCTGACTTCAGGCCAGTCTGAGGGAGATCTCCCAAAGCATTTCAGGGTCTTTGTTCTTCAGAAAGTAATAAACTCAGGCAATGTTTGAGCTCTTAGAATATGTCAGACATTATAGGTGCATTATCCCATCTAATCCTTAAAGCAACATTAGAAATCCGAGGTTTGGAGAGGCCATACAGTCACGCAGGGTTTGATTTAAGATTCGAATCCAGGTCTGGGTAATTCTAAAATCCCAGAGTTCTTAACCACGCAGCTCCAGTCTCTAAAGGGCTGAGGCTTGGTTCTTTTTTTTTTTTTTTTTTTTTTTTTTATGTTTATTTGATTTATTTTTGAGGCAGAGAGAGCAGGGGAGAGGCAGAGGGAAAAGGGGAAAGAGGAACCCAAGAAGGCTCCATACCAACAGCAGAGAACCCAACACGGGGCTCGAACTCAGGAACCGTGAGTTCATGACCTGAGCCGAAGTCAGACGCTTAACTGACTGAGCCACCCAGGCGCCCCAGTGCAGAGACCTGGTCCTGATGTTGATTTTGACATCAGGGCACAGTGTGATGGTGGCTTACCTCCCTGGGCTTCAGTGTCCTTACCTGTAATAGCCCTGCCTGTCAGTGCTATTGAGAGGATCTGAGGTCATAGGCTCCGAGTATGAACACCATGGGGATCGACTAAGACCTCCTTGCCTCTCCTTCACAAAGGAGGGAGCAGGGGCCCAGAAGAGGGAAGAGATTTATCCAGCTTTGTAGAGCCAGGCCTGGAATTCAGGAATTCTCAGTCCCATGAAAAACATTCCCAGATTAGTGTAACCAGTCATGGCAACAGGGATGAGACAACTATTTATCTCCTCTTTCCTGCAGCCCAAGATAGAGAGGCTGGCTCCCGTCACTTCCCCAGATTCCTGCTTTGACAGCTTCCCTGGCTTGTTCCCTGGCCAGGCACCCCCGCTCCCCGGGGCAGGGGGAGCTGAGTCTAAACAGGGTGAAAGGAAAACCCACTTGTCAGGCATACCCAGCCACTGAGCAGATTTGAGGCACCAGGGCCTAGGGGAGGTGCCAAGTTGGGTCCAGCTTGTCAGGGGCTCACACCGTACCAGGCTCTGTGCTGGGCACTGTGGGGCAGGAGCAGAAGGTTGTAGAAGCCTTCCCTTGACTTATCTTCCTCCCCAACCAGAAGTATGCTTCCTAGCAGCGTTTCAGTCATTCTTGATTGTCAACCCATATCAACTCTCCTATTAAAAAGTACGATTTATGAAACTTGATTATCTGGGTGCCACTGACACTGCTTTAGTATCCCAAAGCCTTTGGCATCGGTTCCCTCCTTTGATCTGATCCAACCAATCCTGGCCAAAGTTGGTCAACGTGCCCAGAGGTATGGCTAAGATACCTGACTCTGCCAATTATCCACACATCTGCTTTGGTTGAGCCCTAACGTCACTCGGCCTCAACTTCCTGATCTTTAAATTGGGCACATTCATATTTCCCAGGTTCATTCTGAAGATTAGCTAAGATAATATAGATAGGACATCATAGCGTCCGGTACATCCTGAGTACGGTGTCTTCCCCCCCATCAGTCAAGGTAAGTATCCCTGCCTCCTTATAGTTGGGGGAATACCCCCCTCTAACAAAGAATAAGCATGTAAAATCATGGCTTGGACTTCTGATGCTTTGTCCCCAATATGGGGAACTTGGAAGGAAGTTGTGGTAGCCATAGGCCCTGAGAGGAAAGGGGAATTGTCTCTGAACTAGAGGTTGGGGAGTTTCAGCCATAACTGGACTGAGCAGAAGGTCTGGCCAAGTCCTGGGAGAAGAAAGAGGTGGGCAGGGAGGGCCCCGTGGATGGCAGCACAAACCACAAGGCTCTAAGGACAGGTCAACCAGCATCGAACTCCCCCGTGAGCGTTCGCCTGGAAATGATGAGAAATTCTGCTCTGGGAACCCCTTCCCCTTTGGCCAGTGGGGGAGGCAGCCTAAGTAACTGGATACAGGTCAGGCTCTGGCATAAGTGGAAGTTCTGTCTTGCCTTTGGAAGGATCCTACACCCATCCTCACACTGACCTCTACCCTCTACCCTCACGTCATTGTTGTCTCCTTTCTTCCAGAGGCGCCGCAAACCAGATCAGCTACCCAGACCACAGCCACAGGAACTAGGTCCCCTCAATGGGGACACAGGTGAGTGGCCAGGCCTATATATGCCCTCCCCACCATCCATGAGGTTTCCTGCCTTATAACCAACAAAGGTGATATGGCTGTTTAATTATCTCATGAGACCTTAAGTCAGTTACATTAATAGGAGTATCATGTCTAAAATGAGGGAGGTGATAGTCCTGACCTGTACTGGCCTGTTCCTGGCTATTGATGCCATACCTAGAGTGCGGAGTTTATTTCTGGAAAGTACACTTTCAGAAGAATCCAGAAAAATTGGAGGGAGTACAGTGGAAGGCAGATCAGGCTGGTGAGGAATCTAGAAGCCACGTCCTATAAGGAGCAGTTAAAGGAGCAGAGGATGTTCTACCTGGAAAGAAGATACTGCAGTAAAACACAACAGTTCTCTCCAAGTGTCTGAAGTGCCCTCATAGAGAAGAAAGATAAGCCTTGTTCAGTGTGACTCAGAGGTCAGTAGAAGGGCTTCAAGGCGGCAGAAACAGGCAGGCAGAATTCAGCTCAATCTCAAAGGATTTTTTGTGTGATTGTTGTTTTAGAACCATCAGAGCTGCCTCGTAATGAAACGAGCTCTCGTCTCTGAAAGTGTCCAGTTACAGGCTGAAGACTGTCAGGGACATTATAGAGGAAGTTTAAGTTCCAGATCAGCCATGGGACCAGAATTCAGAGGTTCTGTAACCTGCCTGTGCACAAGAATTACTTGGGGAACATCAAAGATACGGATTCTGGGGCCCCGCCGCCGACCAAGTAATTAAGAATCTCTGGGAGTGGGGCTGAAGACTATTGTTGGTGACGATATCTGTCTTATAAGCTTCTCCCTGGCTGGGGCCAGGTTGTGGACCAAAGTCTGGGATGCTGAGCCAAATGGTTTGTTTGAGTCTGGGGTTCTCTGTACTTGACCACTGCCATCCCCCAGGACTCAGGGCACTGACTCACTCCCCCAGTGCTGGCTTCCTGCCTGGAGCCCCGTTCCTCACCTTTCTCCCCGTGCCCTTTGCCAACCCTGTCGATGGAGCTCTGTAATAATAATAATACTAACGTTAATAATAATACCCACCGCACCAGTAATGCCAGCCCCTCTAATGCTTGTCATGAGCAATAATGAATATCCAGAGAACATTCCATAAACAATAAAGAACATTTACTGAGCTACTTCTAAATGCCTGGCACTATGCTTCCTGCTCTTTGTGCATAAGCAGGCAGGATACGGTGGTAGTTAGGAGCGTTTGCCGTGGGGTCAGACGGTGTATTCACAGCCCTTCTCCCCGACTGTGAACGGGGTGATCCTAGACCAGTTGCATCACTTCTCTGTCTCTCAGTTTCCTCGTCTGTGAAATGGGGAGAGTGACAGTACCCACCATGTTGGGTTGTTGCGGGGACTAGGCGAGTAGTACCCATGAGGCACTTGGAACGGGACTGGCACGTTCCCGGGCATGATATGCTCTCCGTATTCCTTACCTTGCTATTATTATTGCTGTTGCCATTGTTTCCTGATTTAATTATCTCAACAGCCCTGTGAGGTGGGTATTATTATTATCCTGATTTCACATATTGGGTAACTGAGGCACAGAGAGGATGGGTCACGCCCTAGGTCACACCCAGAGCCTACTGGACTCAGAGCTGCGTGGGCAGGGCGGGTTTTGGAGTTTCCCTAAGCAAGAGCGAAGCTTCCTGTTGGCGCCTCCTTCCCACTCACGGCAGCCCCTCTGCCTCCAGCTGGGGGTGGGGCCTGCTAAAGGTCAGGGGTCACACACTCAGACACCTTCTGGCCCCAGCAGGTAAAGCAGGTGATGAGGCAGCCTCAGGAGAGAGAGGCAAGGCCTGGGGTAAATGGCAGAGCCACACCCTGGACAAAGCAGGAGACAGGCCGGCCTCAGCTTCATACACTGCCAGTTCTCCTGCTCCTTGAAAACAAGTTGGACAGACATCTGTACATGAAGTAAAAGCTGCCCAGTTAGTAAACCTCAGCAACTAATTTTTTTAAAATGTTTATTTCCTTATTTATTTTGAGAGAGAGGAGAGAGACTGCATGAGCGGGGAAGGGGCAGAGAGAGAGAGAGAGGGAGAGAGAGAGAATCCCAAGCGGGCTCCGCATAGTCAGCACAGAGCTTGATGCAGGGGTTCAAACACACGAACCACGAGATCATGACCTGAGCGGAAATCATGAGTCTGACGCTTACCCGACTAAGCCGGCCAGGCACCCTGCAACTAATTATTTTTTTAATTTAAATTTTTTTTTCAACGTTTTTATTTATTTTTGGGACAGAGAGAGACGGAGCATGAACGGGGGAGGGGCAGAGAGAGAGGGAGACACAGAATCGGAAACAGGCTCCAGGCTCTGAGCCATCCGCCCAGAGCCCGACGCGGGGCTCGAACTCACGGACCGCGAAATCGTGACCTGGCTGAAGTCGGACGCTTAACCGACTGCGCCACCCAGGCGCCCCTTAAATTTAGATATTAGCTAGAGCAAATTGCACCTTTACGGGCTGAGTCTGTCCTGCAAGTTACCAGCTCTGCTGTAGATCCTAGAGGACAACAAAATGAGCCCACTGGCTCCTGCACTCAAGAGGGTCTCCCAAGCCAGAGAGATGTGCGGGGTTGGGGGGGCCTCTGGAGGTTGATCTCCCAACTGAAACCATTCTTGAGGTGGACACTGGAGTTCTCATCCCTTAGCCCTGGCCTCCCACATCCTCTCTGCCGGACCCTGGCTTCTCCTCCGCTCTGTGTGCATTTTTTGCTTCCTCACTCACAGCCACAACTGTCCAGCTGTGCGCATCTGAGGAGGCTGAGCGGTGCCAGAAGGATATAACCAGAATTCTCCAGCAACACGAAGAGGACAGGAAGAAATGGGCACAACAGGTAAGTCCAGGTGACACAACCCCACCTGTGTTAAGCAGGAAAACCTCCTGCTCAGCTAACCTCGCTAAGTCCCAGAGTGAGGACCAACTTTTGATTTTGTTGTTGTAAGTATCTCTTACTCCATTACCAAGAAGGGAGTCCTTTATCTTTTGAATAAATATTTGTAACTGCTTGCATGTAATTCATTATGTACATTATATGCAATGAAAGGTCGGGAAACACTCTGATGCAGTAGAAAGACTTCCTGCCTGGAGCGGGCATCAGGGTTGGAAGACCCCTACTTGCCTTCCACCTAGACGGTTCTCTAGGAGCCCCCTTCCAAGCCCTAAAGAAGCAAAGTCAGCCACATCTGCTGTGTCTTGGAGGCCTTGTGCCCTCTCTGAACTCAGATTGTCCCCATCACGTAGACGACAGGGTGGGACTCTGATCACCAGCCTCTGCAAAGCTCCAGGGTTCTGGGAGTGGATAAGCGAGGCTGTGCTGAACCTGCTCAATCTCACGCTGCTTACCACTTTCTGTCCCCAGGTGGAGAAGGAGAGGGAGCTGGAGCTTCGAGAGAAACTAGGTGAACAGCAAAGAGCCCTGGAGAGAGAGCATGAGGAGGCACTGCAAGGTAAGGATGGAAATGCTTCACTAGCATAGATGTAGAAGGGTCCTTCTTGCGCCCTCACCACACCAAATTCACAGGTGGTCTCCCACTGCCTCCTCCCTCCTGCCTCTAGCCCCTCCCCCTGCCTGTAGCCCCTCCCTCCTTCTGTGGCCCCTCCCTTCTCTCACTGGCCCCTCCCTCCTGCCTCTGGTCCTTTCCTCCTACCTCTGGCTGTCCCCTCCTGCCTCTGGTCCACAAGCAGTTGGCTGCCTCCGCACTGGAGTCTTCAGGATCCTTGGACTTGTCCTTTCAGGAATGGCTTTAAAACTCTGACGCCATGCTTTGTTTAACCTTAGTTGAGACGTTTTTTCCCTTAAAATTTTAAAAGCAATTCATATTCCTTAAAGGAAATTTGAAAAATCTAGACAAATAGGAGAATTTTTAAATATCCATATTCCTTCCCTACAATGATGACAGCTCTTAAATTTTATGGTTAGGTTATTTATATGGTTAGTTATTTTTTTCAAATAGCTTTCTTTCCTTTTATATGTGATGTAACCATGATAGAAAATTTAGAATCTATGGACTAAACAATACGATCTTATAGCATAGTGGTTAAGATCTCAGGCTCTGCAGCCACAGTCCCTGGGTTTGAATCCCAGCTTCCCCTCTTACTGGCTGTGCAACCTTGAAGAATTTAGTTAATCTCATTCCTAGGGTGTTTATGAGAATTAAATGATTTGTTAGATAGATAGATGGATAGGTAAAATTTAGAACAGTGCCTGATATTTCATAAGATACTTAGCAAATAATTAGTACTTATTTTATTATTGCAAAAATTAAAATTGTGTACAATTCTACCCAGAACCAGTCACTAGTCACTGTTACCCCTTTAATATAGATCCCTTTCACTCTGTGTGTGTGTGTGTGTGTGTGTGTGTGTGTTTGTATACACCTGGGATATTCTTCTATACACACACACATACACTGGGGGGAGGAGATAAATTGATTTTTCTGTTTCAATGGTATTAACATCTTGTCATTTAACTTCTGTAATATAAGTTCTAGCAACTGCACA